TGTGGAAATGATTCTGACGCTCTGTGCCACTAAGTTTGTGGTGATTTATTACTCCCCTTCTCTTCTTTTACCCATCTGGCAAAACTCTAGCCCTCACCTTACCTGCTTCCTCCATAGCTGTACCTGGACAGCCAAAGCGGCCGAAACAAGTCAGCAGTGCTGTGAAGATTCATAATTATCAACCTGAAATGGGCTTACCTCTGCATGACCCCTCCTCTCCTCTTTGTGAGGAGACAACCTCACTTATTACCTAGAGAAGAAACTCAGCCACCAGAGAGGGTCGCTCCCAACTTCCTGACTCCTCTCTCCGCAGCCAGCCCCACCGCTTCCCTCCATTTCAGTGGAGGAGGGGCTCATTACTTCTGATACCAACCCTTTCAGCTGGGCTTTCCATCCCACCCACTCCTGACTTCTCAGCACCCTTACCTGATCTCTCTGGTCTCACACATTTTCTAACTCCCTTTCTCTCTGGGATCTTTCACATTGGCTGGTCATGATTATGTCGCTTTTATCGTAAAAGAGCAACAACAAATCAGAAGGCACAGACAGCCCCCTCCCAATCAAATCACACATTTGAGCTTCTGTAGACACACATGTTTTCTCCATCACCCATCCTCGTCCTATCTCTCTTCCCCATTCCACAGCCAGACTTGTCAAAGATGTAGCCTTATTTTTCCCTTTTCTTCTAATTTCTCATTCCACACTAATCTGGCATCTGTACCCAAATAATTCACCCAGAGAGCTTTTACTAAATCATCAATGACCTCTAATGGATCAGAATCACTAAAGTCAATGGGCGATTTTCTATACATCACTTGACTTTATAGCACTGAACACAGTTCATTATACCCTCCTTGCAGCATTTTCTGATCCTGGCTCCATCACACCACATGCTCCTGGTTTTCTTTCCACCTCTGGAGCCCCTGCCCTTATAGCTCCTTTACAGATTCATCCTCCTCCATCCAGTCATTAGTAATGATATTCTTCCTTTGTCTACTAGACTGTCTTTGACTCTCTTTCTATTCTATACTTGTTCCCTAAGGATCTCATACATGATCATCACTAATTGACATATGTAGGCAAATGACCCAACATTTACATATCGGGCACAGACCTCTTCTTTGCTTTCCATATACTCAACTGCCAACTTTGGCTATCACAAGGTCAACTCAAACACATACCAAAACATGCAATCTTATCTCCCCCTCACTCCCACGCTGCCCCCACTCCTCCAAACCTGTCACTCTCCCAAAACACTCATTCTGGGAAAGGCCACCTCCACATACCCTTAACCAACATGAGAATGTCAACCGTGACACTTCTCTTTCTCCCTCCTACATCTGACCTGTCATCAAGTTCAATCACTTGTTCCTTATAACAGCACCCAAATCCATCCACTCCTACCACCAAATATTAGTCCAATTTACTATCATCTGCCAATGACCTCCTAACTGGTCTATCTTCAGTCACTCACACTCTTGTCTAATTTGTTCTATATGATGCAGGTCTAGTGAAGGTCCAATCTTATCTCTCCAGCCTCAGCCTCATTCCATACCACACTCCCAGCTCTCCCTTCTCCAGCCACTGGTCCTTCCTACTTTCCCAGAAGGTTCATCTGCTTCTTCCACTGCAGGGACTCTGCACATGCTGGTCTATTGCTTGGGATACAAATTCCTACCCCTCCCTCAGAAGAAGTTCCCCTGATGCCTCAGACTGAGTCAAGTCTTTCATTTTCCCAAGGATCTTTCTTTCACTACCCTTATCATAGCTGTGACCTAGCTTTCTTCTTGTGATTTGATCATTTGCCTCTCTAGCAACACTGTGCAGGCCACAAGGTCACTGACAAGGTCTAGTTTTGCTCACAGATACATTCCAGGGCCAGGTACAGTTTCAGCACGTGGTAGGCACTCAGGGAGTTTTGCTATTGTTTTTCTTCAAGGCCATAGGTATGCAGTAAAGCTTACACATACAAAGGAAACTTGGGTACATTGTAGATTTCCAAGGCCAACCCCTGCAACTCAAAGGAAACAAAAGCACAACTTGGTGGCATCTTCACAGCTTATTCCTGCCAGGGCTATTTTTTTCTAAACACAGTCCTATTTACAAAAAATTTGGATAAGTTGGCTGCAGATGACTATTTGAGGAGGCACTGCCTGTTCTATTTCACATGTTATAATCTGGTTTTGTTCCTGGGGCAGGTATAAGGATGTTTTGTGGACACCCATTGCCAATAACACAAAAGATGCTGGGCATCAGGCTAATTGCTCCCCAGGGCCTGGGCGGAGCCTCTGAGGACAGGTTGAAAAGCAGGTGGAGATCATCTCCCTGAGGACCTGTTGTTTTACGTTCTATGAGTTACTGCTCTCCTACGCTGAGCGCTGAGCGGTGATGCAGAGATGCTTCTGAGAGGAACTCTCCCTGCAGTGCTTTGACCACCATGCAGAACTCAGCCCTGGGTCTTATGCTGAAGGCCTTTAGGACACGAGCATTCAGCTTAGAATAGGAGGGGCATATGAGCAGCATGAGACATGAAGCTCTATCTTTGAAAATTTCATATAGTAGCTATTGATGCCAAAATTGAGGAAAATCTTGAGATCATAATTTTCTAATGTAATTTTCTTAGTTCTATACAACTTGCAAAGCAATATTTGAAGGTGTTGCATATATACTGAAACACATGTCCCATATATTGAGTTACAGTAAAACTACAGTATAGAGAATTATGGCAAATTATAAATGTAACTCATTGTGGTAATAATAACAGGCCAAGCATGCACTGTGTTAATGTAATGTCATGTGTTAAAAAAGCATACAATTTTAAATACAAATACATAATATAAAATGCAATATATGGACTTATTCTTTGTATTTAAAGTCATGGACATTACTGTGCATATGAAATGATATTACATACACACACAGCCAAGACAAATATATGCATTCCAGCTAAAACTGGCAAACCAATTAACATTCTCACAATCAATCAATCCTCCTGTATATTTAATATTTGATTCTTATCCATGCAAAGGGAAGTTTGTAATTCAAAGTACTGCTTAAACATATATGTAATTTATGATGTTAACCATCCTTATGTTGACAATAGTTTTCTCATTTTGGCTAAAAACTAGCACAGAAAGTCTCTCCTTTCCAAAAACAAGACATAACATTTCTGAATCCAGTTAAGTACAAGGAACAGTGTAAACTGTTGACTTAAAAAAAAAACCCACAAAATTGCTTCAGTTATATTATGAGCCCATCCATCTATTGTGATACAGATATATTCCATAGTATGTCCTCTAGCTTCTTTAATTTGAAACCTGAATGTCTCTTAAAGAGAAACAACAACTACACACACATAACATTCAGCTGTCAGTTTAACTAGTTTGGCCACAGAAATCATAGAAACTTGCTAAGAATAGTTAAAAATAAGAATGATTAAAGTTTCATTTTTGCCTGTCACATGTTTTATAATTCTTTCTCCCCAAAGAATTTTAAATGAATGTTTTTTTCAAACTTTTAATGATTCATGAGTAATCTGATGCCACTGTACTTTGCTTAAAGAATGTATTTCATTTTGATTTCTCCACTCCAATGCAATGGTCTAAGTGTCATTTTCCTTGTCACCTCATGAAGAGGGGATTCACAGGAGTCACCCATTTAGACTTTCGCCTGCATGTAAATCTCTCCGTAGTGCTTGGGGGGGC